CGGTCCAGGAAGATCCCACATGCCGTGGAGTGGCTGGGCCCGTGAGCCATGACCACTGAGCCTGCATGTCTGGAGCCTGTGCTCCGCAACGGGAGAGGCCACAACAGTGAGAGGCCCGCGTACCGCAAAAAAAAAAAAAAAAAAAGAATGGTAAGTCGAGACTTCCCTGGCGGTCCAGTGGTTAAGACTTTGCCTTTCAATGCAGGGGGTGAGGGTTCGATCCCTGGTCAGGGGGCTAAGATCCCACATGCCTCGTGGCCAAAAAACCAAAACATAAAACAGAAGCAATATTGTAACAAATTCAATAAAGACTTTAAAAATGGTCCACATCAAAAAAATCTTAAAAAAAAAAAAAGAATGGTAAGTCTACCAGTACTTGACTTAGAGACAGTCATCAGCAGGGCATTTCTCCATAGAGACATGTCCCTGTTATCAATGGGACAAATCTGCTTGAGAGGATGACTCCATTCTGGGAGGGTCAATGTGGCCCCTTTCAGGCGGCCTTGCGGTGTTCTCAGATGTCATGTCAGTTAGGGATAGATGTGTGTGACAAATGTGTGTGAGCGTGGAGTTACAGAGGGAGTGACTTTTATCTGTTTCAAACACTCTAATTTTCAACCAACATCATTCAAAGGCTTCAAACATTTAAATCATTCCTGGTAATGCAAACTTCAAGCAATAAGTTCAACACCAGAGTATATCCAACTCATTAGAATTAGATATTCGAACCATTCCCGGAATACCCACAGATGAGCAATTTATTTACAATTTGCAAGCCCGCTAGTAGCACGCCCAAGCCAGCCTCTGGGAAAAGCAGTACGTCATTTCTGGTCAGGAGTGTGATGACCAAGCAAGGGACTTTTCCAGGAAAGTTCCAGGATATATGGTATCCAGCCTCCCTGTCCCTCTTCTCCTTCTGGCTTTATATTTTATCCAGATGATAACCCACCAGGCAAACCCCAAACTTTACATTGTAAGCAGACACACTGAAGAGCTGCCAGGGGGAAAACGCTAGAGATAATAGCCGGTGTTCATTTTGTATTTTCCTGCCCTCCTCCTGCCCACACCTGTGGCTGCCTCATAGCCCGTTCAGGGATCTCTAGGAATCCTATCCATTTACGTCTCAGGGGTTGGGGGATGGGGCTTTCCAAGGGACCTTTTCTATAATTCTGATTTCCCAGGATCCAAAATTGATATGGGGAGTCCTACATGTTAGTGCCTGCCTGGTAAAATAAAAATTGGTACCTACGTATTTTTCTCATTGATTTTTAAAATCATGCTTAAATGTACAGCTCAGCGGCATACGTTCACCTTGATTTGCACCCAGCATGACCCACCCCCAGAATTTTTTCATCTTGCAAAATTGAAACTCTCTACTCATTAAACATCAACTTCCCACTCCCCTCTCCCCCAAGCCCCTGGCAACCACTCTTCTACTCTCTGTCTCTATGAATTTGACTACTCTAAGTAACTCACATGAGTGGAAACTTACAGTACTTATCCTATTTTATTTTATTTTTTTTTATTGGCCATGAGGCTTGTGGGATTTTGGTTCCCTGACCGGGGATAGAACCCAGGACCCTAGGCAGTGAGAGGGTGGAGTCCTAAACCCTGGACCGCCAGGGAATTTCCAGTACTTGTCCTTTTTTAACTGGCTTATTTCACTTAGCATAATGCCCTCAAGGTTCATCCACAATATAGCATGTGTCAGAATTTACTTCCTTTTTAAGGCTGAATAATATTCTATTGTATGGCTCTACCACATTTTGTTTATCCATTCATCCTTTGGTGGACATTTGGGTTGTTTCCACCCTCTGGCTCTTGTGAATAATGCTGCTGTGAGCATGGGTGTTCTTTGCTGTCATTGAATGTTTTGATTGTGTAGCAAGATGCATTAAGATAGACTTCAATATTTCTTAACCTTCGACGATGGGAAACAGGAACAAATCGGGAAGCTCTCTGGATTATGTATACCTGCTTGATGTACTTTAAGATCACTTCCACGGATCGGTCAGTAATCTCAATATTTTAGGTAGGATTTAAATATTTTGTCTAATCCCATGAAGGTTCACTGATGAGTAAATGACTACAAAAAAACTTTTTAAAAATTTAGAAGTTATTTTTTATTTTATTTTTTTGCGGTACGCGGGCCTCTCACTGTTGTGGCCTCTCCCGTCGCGGAGCACAGGCTCCGGACGCGCAGGCTCAGCGGCCATGGCTCACGGGCCCAGCAGCTCTGTGGCATGTGGGATCTTCCCGGACCGGGGCACGAACACGCGTCCCCTGCATCGGCAGGTGGACTCTCAACCACTGCGCCACCAGGGAAGCCCTAGAAGTTATTTTTTTAAGTGTGGAAAATTATAGTTTTTCTGGAGAGCCAGGAAACTGGCATTTGGTGGCCCAAAGCCTGAAGAAGCAGATTGTAGTGAACAATATATACACAGATGAGGAAAATAAAATGCTTTGAACTGGTAAAAAGCGTACTATGCATTTTTTCCCCAACAATTCCTACATAGTGGTTCTGGAGTAAATCTGAAAATATTATAAAACCTGCACAGGGCCTTCCCTGGCAGTCCAGTGGTTAAGAGTCTGCGCTTCCACTGCAGGGCGTGCAGTTCCAAGCCCTGGTGGGGGAAACAAGATCCCGCATGCCACGAAGCACAGCCAAGAAAAGAAAACAAAACAAAACAAAAAACCCCTAAAAATATGAACATTGTGTTAATATGTACAAATAGTAACTTGAAGTGTGCATATAATTTAAAACAATTTTAAATTACATGTATTTTAGTTTTTTTTTTTTTAACCCCACCTCCCATCTCTTTTAGTGGACGTTTTTGTGCAGGCCACGTGGCAAATCTAATCCAGTGCAGTTCTCAAAGCTATCTGCTTCACTGATGGCATTCTCTGCTGTTTGCAAGCACTTCTGCATACTTAATTGGGTGTGTGTATGTGTGTATTTACTGGGATTTGGGAAGCAGGGGAGAGAGATCTTTCAGGGTTTATGATGCCATCTTGAAACCAAAAGTCAATTTTTTCTTAGATTAAGTCATTAAAATCTTGATATCATGGGAAAAAAGAGCTCTCTCTAAATTCTCTTTTAGAAGATATTTGTGTATTGGTCGTGCTCTCTTAAAAGAAGAACACTTTTCTTAAGCTAAATATTTTCTCGGCAATGATCTCATTGCTCCAAATTTAACACTGGTTCAATATTCTCTTTTAATTCTAGTGACAAATACTGATGAGGAGATAATTTTTTATTCTGTGGTTCCATGAACTCATCATTGGGTAGGATGTAGTTTTTTTTTTTTTTTTTTTGCAAAAAAATATTTGTTTGAAAGCAGAAAATGAGCCAATAGAAAGAACTGATGAAAGTCACACAATCTAACATAGAATATGAGTATAATGTATTGTACTAACGTAAAATTTTCAAAATTTAAAAAACATGGTTCATGTAAACATACAATGAAAACTTATCTAAGATTTTATTTAACCAATTCATGAGGGACTCAGCAAGATGTTGACTTCAAAGGAGAACTAGTAAGATAATAAGGTTTAAAGGAAAATGTGAAGAACATATATGTATATATATTCCATATATTTCAGTTAGGAATGATGAAATGAATTTGCTAATAGATGCAAAACTGGGTAACTGATTTATATCATATAAGGCAAAATCTAATTCGGTTTATCTTATTTTTTATCTGGCAGAAATCACCCATATCTCTACTGGAAAAATTAACTTGCATTGCTATGGACAAGAATCTTTTGCATTATCATCAACTTTCTGCAAGTTAACTTTACCCCTACAGAGTTATAAATAGCATAGTCAATAGAAAGTCCATCAAAGGTGCACAACCCTCTAGAATCAATCTCCAGAAGGGCTACTACACAACACCCAGCACCCCACTGAAAAGACACCCAGTAATCTCTTTTGCCCATTTCCAAATTTTGGATATTTTCCCGACATCACCAATTAAAAAAAAATAAATATATATATATACTTATACACATATATACACAAATGTATTTAAATTTATTTATTTTTCAGGGGAGCATGGCAGAGAAGGAGAAGTATAGGTTGGCTTAAAAATGTCTTGAATGTATTTTTTGTTGAAACAGTGACATGATTTCAAAGTTCATGGAGAGCGGAGCTTAACGAAGAAACTGTCTAAATAATAGGAGATAGTTTGCACTACCTGCACTGTCCATCTCCTGCTCCCCAAAGCAGGCTCTTATCTTTGCTGAGCAAAAAATAATTAGCAAGAAAGCATGCTGCAAAAGGGCCTCGGAAGTGTATTTTTAACGACTTCTTTTTTTTTTTTTGCAGTATGCGGGCCTCTCACTGTTGTGGCCTCTCCCGCCGCGGAGCACAGGCTCCGGACGCGCAGGCTCAGCGGCCATGGCTCACGGGCCCAGCCGCTCCGCGGCATGTGGGATCTTCCCAAACTGGGGCACGAACCCGCATCCCCTGCATTGGCAGGCGGACTCTCAACCACTGCGCCACCAGGGAAGCCCATAACGACTTCTTTTTAAGGCTGCACAAGTGGAACCCTTATATGGGCGTGTTCATGGGTGGTTAGGGTTAGAGTGGGCTCAAGGCACAGAGAGAAAGCAAGTGAGGATATGGGTGAAGGAGTGGAAGGCTCTGCTCTTGGGGAGCCCTACAGACATCTCGAGCTGAAAGCCTTCAACCTGGAACTTATTTTTTCTCCCCCTGCAGCCTCTCTACCCTAACTTGCCACAATTCCCTTTGTGTTTCTGTCTCAGTGACTCCTGCCACCATCAACCCAGTTGCCCAAACCAAAAGTTTCGGTGACATCTGTAATTTCTCTTTCCTTGTCCACCACAGTCCACAGGCCATAAAATCCAGTGGATTCCACCCAATACCACTCTCATTTGCCACTTCTCTCCACACTCATTGTCAGTGCCCTGCTCCTGGACGTGTCCTCTCTTGTCTGGAGCCCTGAAGCAGCTCCAGGCCGTCGCCCTGCCTCCTCAGACCCAATCCCAATCCCACAGAGCCGACCCTGGGAGCCTTTCCTGATGAGGTCGCGCTTCTGAAAACCCCGTGACAGCTTCTGAGCAACCTCCTTGACATGCTTTATGAAGTCTTTATTTCCGCAGCTCACTGCCGCTCTCCAGCCGTCCGTTCCAATCTGAGGCGGTCCTGCTCGCCATTGCTAGAATACACTCTAGTCTGTCTCTTTGCCCACGCCTCTCACCGCTTAGACTCCTCTCCCGCGCCCTTCTCACTGTCAGGTCTTCGCTTACTTCTTCCTGAAGCCTCCCTGACGCCCCAAGCTGAGTGTCCTCGGAGCAGCAGGAAGTCCTGCCAGCTCTCTCGCCCCAGACGGTCTTGTCGCCTGGTCAAGCCTGTCGCCCCTGGGTGGCCTGGACTGGCGGCTTCTCGCCCTTGGAGCTCCAGCCACGTCGCCCGGCTCGCTTTCAGCTTCTAGAAGATTCCCGCTCCTTCTGCCCCTCACCCCTCTTCCTTTGCCACCCCGGGGGTGCCTCCCTGAGCTCCCGACCGCCTTGGATCCCGCGATCGTTCCACACGCTTAAAGCACGGGAGACAGTTTCCTTCTGGCACAGTCCGGGACTCTACGTTCAGCTGTGTCACTAAGCCGGACCCGCAGCGTGTCCCCGGGCCCCCCGCGTACCCGGCGCGCAGCAGGGGGCACGGCCAGGTGAAGCCGCGAGTGGCTGAACGAGTGTCCCCCTTGGCGCGCGGGCCTGGCGGGGAGGAAGGGCCCGCGCACCGCCGCCGCCGCCACTCCGCGGGACCCCGCGGAGCCCTCAGCTCCCTAGCTTGGCGCCGGAAGCGGCCCGGCCGGCCCCCTCCCTGGGGCGTCCGACGCCTTATCTCGGCGCCTTGGGGCGGCAAGAGGAGTCGCGGGCGCGCCGGGAGGGAGGCGGCGGCATGGCCCGGGGGCCCCGGCGCGCCGGCTTCCCGCCTGGGCGCCTGCTGTCGCTCCTGCCGCTGCTCAGCCTGGCCCTCGGCGTGCCCCCAGCGCCGGGCGCGGACGGTGAGTGCAGGCGGGGAGCAGGCGCGGCGCGGGGTCGGGGGGCGGCCCGGACTCTGCCCGGCGCGCCCCGGACGCTCCCCCGCCCCTGGGCCGGGCTGGCGAGGAGCCTGGTAGCTGGGCGCAGGTCGGGGATCGGAGGGCGGGGCTCCGAGAAGCGGGAGGGCCTCCCGGGCGGGCTTCTCCGCCTCAGGCCCGGTCCTGGGCTGCGGGAAACAAATGCGCAGCGGCCCGGCCCGCGCCCCCGGGGGACCTGGCGCGAGTGGGGGCCGGGCGCGAGCGAGGGGAGAGGCTCTCTCCCCGCCAGGAGAGCCGCGCCCGGCGCGCGAGGGCGTGGAAGGGCGTTCCGCCTGCACTGTCACGCTTCCGGCCCGGCTGTGGCTTTTCCGCGACAAATTCTTGACCCGGAGCAGTTGTCTTTCTACCTTTTAATTTTTTCCCTTTGATGAAGAACCAGATGCTAATAGGGTGAGGAAGAAGTGTAAGGAAGTTTACGGGAATAAAGCAGTTATTAAGCCATTCATTCAACAGATGAAGGGTCCTTGAATAGTTTCCCTGTGAAGGGTGTGAGGGCCTTGTGCTGGTCCTTACTGAGCTCATATTCTGCAGAAGACAGACGAGCAAATAAGCCATTTCTAGGCAGTTGGAGTAGTTTTTATTCCCCCTGCAGAACGCAGTGTTGAACGTGGTACGAGTTACGCAGAGGATTCAGACACGGAGGGGAGATGGCATTTACTCAAATAACTGTAATAAAGGCAGAACGCCATCAGAGGCGTTCTGAGGTGGGTGGTCAGAGGAGGGAAAGACGACTTCTGACCAAGGGAATCTGGTGGCCTCATGGATGAGGTGACCTTTGAACTGGGCCAACAACGATTGGTAATATTTGGTTATGGGAAGAGGAGGAAAAGGCGTCCCAACTCAGAGCAGAGGGCACAGCAGCTCTCCGCAAATACGTGTAGAATGAACGAATTCCAGGTGGAGGGACAAAGTGAGGAACCACACGAAGGCATGAAAGCACGGGGGCTGTGTTTCAGTTTGACTGGTATGTAGGAGGTGCGTGGGGAATGGGGGGCAGAAAAGCAGGTTGGATTTAGCCAGAAGGCAGAGTGTTGTGATTGGCAGACCAAGGCATTTAGACTTAGTTGTTCCTGGGCAGCGAGTAGCCATTGGAAATCACTGCAGATTTTAGTACAGGGAGTGATGTAAAAGCTGGTATAAGAAAAGCTTCCAACTTCCTTCATAAAATGAAACACTCCTCCTATAGTGGATGGCAAATTCTGTGTAAGGAGATATGAGGGGACTTTGTGGCTCAGACTCCCGTTCCCCTCAATTCTCTTTACCTTGGGACTTTTACCATCACTGGACGGTGTTTTTCTTGACAGCCAAACCTCCTGGAATGGCCATTTTTATACATCAGATGCTGTGGTGGGCTTTCTAACTTCCTTCTCCAACTTGGTCTCCCACGGCAGTGTGTGTAAAAGTTTGCAGATGCTTGGAGCCTATTTCAGAATCTTTGTGTTAAGACTGTAGCCTAGGAAACTGTCCACTGGGGTCCCATTGGCTCGCTGGCCTGAGATGGTTGAACAAAGTAACTACCTAAGGCCATCCATCTGCAGCAGCTTAACGGCTGTGGGGTGAATTTTGGGAAATGGAAGCCAGGGTTACCTGGATGAGCCCCCTCTCCTTATGCAGGCATTTCCCCATCATTTACAACTGTGTAGAACCTGGTTTGATTAAGGGCAGGTTTCCTTGCAGTGGTCAATGTGGGAACTGACTGGATGCTTAGGGCCATTGAGGAAGTTGTAATATCTGTTCTAGAAGTTCTGAGGCCGGAAGACTGGCCCCACAGTCATGACAGCAGGAGATGAGGACTGCATGTAGGTGATAAGGTAGAAAGGGAACTGGAAGGACTTAATGACAGATGTTAAGGTGCAAAGGAACAGAAAAGGGAAGTTGGAACACTAAGGGTTTAGGACTGGGTGACTTGGGTATATGGGTCTGTGGGAGGAGAAAAAAAGATTTTGGAAGAAAGATGCCTAGTTGTTTTGGAGATCCTGAATTCGAGGTAATGCTAGGACTTTCAGAGAGATGAAACCAACAGGGAGTTGAGACTGTGGACAGTAAGTGTGTGCAAATGATGGAGACTCGATGGTCACTTGAAGCCTTGAGGTTGATAAGAGTAAGAGGACCAAGGACAGATTCTTGGAAAGACTAAGTTCAGATGGTAGATGCACATGGAGGAGAAAGAGCAGTGGCCACATAAATTGGAGGAAGACCGGGCTAGTAGAGCATCAAGGAAACCAGGGGAAGGGGAGCCAAGTGAGTGGAGACTGAGAACAAGGCTTTGGATTTGGTGACTCTGTCAGTGGAAGCCAGAGCTAGCAGAGCACTGAGGGTGAGAGCCAGATGCAGAGGGCTCAAGTGAGTGCAGGACTTTGGCTGCAGAGTAGATATTCTTTAAAGAAGATAGAAGATAGAAGGAAAGAGAAGTTAGCATTCAGTTGGGCTGGCCAGGTCAGTGCAAGAAATTTTTTTGCTGGGGGAAGTGGTAAAGCAGACTCCGGCACGAATGAGGGGAATTATTGGGTAGAGGGAGAAACTGAAAATGGAAAAATAAAGGAGATATTTATTGGAGCAGGTCAGAAAGCAAAGTTGGTCTACAAGTGGGAAAGCTCGATAGGGAGAGGGGAGGGAAGGAGAAGAATGGAGAACAGCTCTTCCCTTCCCCCACAGCTAGCTACTTAGTGCTGTTCATTTTTCAAAAGCAGCCCAATTGTCCTCCCTCCTGGAGGCCCCTCTGTACTGTATTACATGGGCCACTACACACTTACTTATATACATACATATTTATAAGGTACCCTTGCTCTATACACTTACACCATATTGCAATGTAATTGTTTACTAGACTAAGAGCTCCTTGTGCGTAGGGACTGTGGCTTGTATTAGGAATCTGGTATGGAAATAAACGAAGACCACTCAAATGAGAAAAGGCTGTTTATTCAGAGCTTGCTCTAGCAAAAGAGTCAGCGATCGTCATTTACATTTGTCAGAGACTTACAGGCAGGCCGGGGAGTGTAAAGACTTTACAGTGGAACAGAAAGGAAGGTTTCAGGTATGCCCGGGTTGGTTGGAGGATGTTGCCATTGGGAAGCTGGAGATAGCTCCTCTCTGACAGTAGGCATCTCGTGTGATTGGTTAGGGGGGTGTATTTGGCTTTCTCTGATTGGTCCTAAGTTTGAAGCGTGGGCAAAAATTATGGAAGCTGTCCAATATTGATTAAATCCTGACCACTTGGGACTTATTGCTACAGAGGTTGTGGTTTGACTTCCTAGACCGATGGCTGCAGATTATGGGTCAGAGTTCTATTTTTATGTGTGGTCTAGGGTTGTCCATTTGCCTATTCAGTCTCTCACGGTAACATTGCTGAATTACGTTTAATTGTTATCCAATGCGTTTCAGGGAGGAGAGAGTGGGGGAGCCAAAGTCAGGTGGCCTGAGTGTGAGGGAAGTGTGAAGTGGTAGTTGGTAGAGCAGGAGGGTGTTGGTGGTGGGCATGGTGCCAAGCCCTAGGGGAACAGAGAGGTTAGGAATGGGCCAGGAGGGCTGGAACCAGTCAGTCCTGTTTCTTAACCTTTTCCTGGCATTGCTCTGAGTCTGGGAGCGGCTGGGGTTTGGGAAGGCCAGAGGGTGTGCAGAGGGCAGGCAGAGGCCTTGAGAGGCTTGGGGAGCGGTGGTAGAGAGGGTTGGGGAAGTTGTTGCTGTGTAAAGTACACCTGACTTCCTGAATCGTGCATTCCATAGGCTTGGTCTTCACTCCGTCATCATGAATCACAGCAGCGTATTCCCTGTTCAGAGTGAGGAAGAGGAGGAAAGAAGGGAAATGGAGCGGGTGCGTGGTTTTGGAGTGACTTACAGTTGCTCAAAGTAATGTAGCAGGATTAGAGCCAATGAAGACGATCCCCGCCACGGCCTGTGTTCCCCCTCCAAGAACTTGGCCCTGAGCACATCCTCAGCTTCTGGTCAAATCCTAAAGTGGGCTCCTAGGTCTCTGCAGCCAAAGGTGGCAAGAGGCCTATTGGCCTTAGCTCTGCAGAGGAGACAGGGGTGTTGAATTGCATGGATCTTAAAAAAAAAAAAAGGTATTCAGCTTGCTCGAGAATGTGGGGCAGCCTGTTCATGTGTGACATTCAGGACATAAACCTAGGGTGTGGCTGCTTTGCTCAGAGCTCTAAAGCATTGACATTGGGGTGCTCGGCATGGGTTGGTTCCTAGTCTGGAGGCCAGGTGTGGGACCCGCTCTGCAAGTTGGTCTTGGTCAAACAGGAAAATGGTCAGAAGAGGGCAAAAGAGCAAAAGCAGCTGCGGGCTGATAACCATTTTACACAAGGAAAGGTTCTGGGTTCCTGATGGGGAATGGCAGCCCTGGGTTGGGGAGGAGAAGGGACTTGATGATGGTTCCCATTGCCCCCCAAGGATTATACTGCTTGAAAGAGTAGAGTGCTCTCTGTCTTGGCAGATTTTTATTTTATTTTATTTTTTATTATTATTTAAAAAATATTTTATTTAGTTTCATTTTGGATGCATCGTGTCAGTTGCAGCATGTGGGATCTTTCGTTGTGGTGCGCAGGGTCCTCCTTGCAGTGTGTGGGCTTCTCTCTAGTTGTGGTGGGCAGGCTCAGTAGTTGTGGCACAGGCTTGGTTGCCCCACAGCATGTGGGATCTTAGTTCCCTAACCAGGGGTGGAACCCACGTCCCCTGCATTGGAAGGCGGATTCTTTACCACTGGACCACCACAGAAGTCCTTTGGCGGATTTTTAAAGCACAGGCTATGTTTTTGTTTTTTTCTGTGAGGGATGTTGGAGAGGAGGTCTCTCAGGTTCCTTCTGTTTCTGGAATTTGATGCCGTCTCTTACAAGCAATGCAATTTTCCATAGTGTTGCAGAAGACTTGGGAATGCTTTCTCTTCCTGAGCTTTGCGCCCCTTTGCTTATTTCCTCAGGTCA